TGATTAGGTCTGAGGTGGTATAGCAACTGGGGGAATAGGAAGGGATGGAGTGATAAAATGGGGAGGTCTGGGGGCTTGAGGAAAAATGAGAACTGGTGGGAGTGGGAGCACTCAGGGTACTCTGGGAATTATTGATCTGGCAACCTGGGATGGACAAAAGTCCTATGGTTCTCAGGTGCCTGGAGCCATTAAGTACAAGAAGGGTGAGTGGAGAGGAGCACAAGGAGAAACTGGAGTGTGTAGTTGTAAAAGAAGGGCCCTGGAAGAATGGGAAGGAATGAAAATTTGGGGGGAAATTAGAGTAACTTTAATATAGGGCTAAGTATTTAGTAGAGACAGGAAGGCTTGAGGTGGTTGGATACCTGACAGGGTTCAGCGTGCCAGGTGAGGGGCCGAGAGGCTGCTACTGAAATGGGAATATGGGAAAGCATGGAAAGAATGGGCAGGGTTGGGCAGATACGTGAGATCAGGGAAGGAAATAGGAGATTGGTGTTTGAATGGAATCGGAATGTTCTCAATGCTCTTTGGCATCAGAGGCAGGGTGATTCTAGACTTGGTGGAGTTTACGGGACTAGGGAGATTGGAATGGGAGAGAAGATGGGATGGTGAGGGTATGGGCAATGGTTTGAATAGGGTGGGGGGTTGCAGACTTACGGAGGACTAGGGAGATAGAGGTAGGAGAATACAGTGATAGCTGCAGGACAGCGTGGGAAGGGTGGTGGAGAAAAGCACGGAGAAGTAGTGAGAAAAGGTGAGAAGAGACCTGTCTCAGGACTCCCTCCAAGAAAAGAGAAGAAAAGGGAGCAGCTGTGCACACACCTCTCTTCTCTGCCCCCTCATCCATGGGCAGATGTGTCACATAATGCCTTCAAGCAGCTATTGTTTGGATTATAAATACAATGTTGACTCCTTATTCAGAGAGAAGATAGGACGGTTTTCCAATTTCAAAAGGAATGCAGGAAAAATGCAGAAAGTTTGGAAAATTTAAAAAGCATGAAGGAAAACAAAAATTAGGAATCCCACACTGAAAAAATCGTGGTTGACTTGATGTGCATTTTTCTCTCTGTCTCCCGTCATTCTTTGGCTTTCTGTCATCCACATCCAGGTGGGTAATACCCTAGGGTCACATTTGTATTTGTTCTGCTTACGGTTTGCAGAGCTTCTTGAATCAATAAATTATGTCTTTCAACAAATTGGGGGAATTTTTAGCCTTTAGTTAAATATTTTTCTGCTCCATTTCTCTCCTCCACTTCTTGAATTCCAGATACTGAGACTCTTCAGAGAACTCTAAAAAAACATTACTTTAAATTTACAATATATATATTTTAGTTGTGAAACAGATTATTTCTAATTTACTAATTTGTATCTAAAATGAATGGGTATGAATCTTAAATACCCATAAAGGGGCTTATGTTTTTGTATTGGATGACAGTCCTTTGGATGGATTCTTCCAACCCACTGGTGGTCTCAGAACCAATGTCAGGATGACTATGTTAGAGTAGTACTTACAGGGACACCTTAGGGGAAAGAGGAGCAAATGGGAAGCCACAAGAGATTTGGGCCTCAGTGAAATTGCTCTATTTTTTTAAAGACTAATTTTTTAAAGAGCAATTTTACATACAGAGCAACATTAACAAGAAGAAGCACTGATTTCCCCATATAGTGTTTGTCCCTACACACGTATACTCCCCTTCTGTCCATTAACATACATCACTCACAAAAGTGGTGCATTTGTTACAATTGAGGTACCTACACTGACACATCATAATCACCCAAAGTCCATAGTTTACATTGGGGTTCACTCTTGGCATTGTGCATTCTATTGCTTGCATAGTTTACACTCTTGCAAATGTAATTCAAAGAACTTTCTTGTAAATATCTCTTTATAAGCATAGTAGTGTTTCTCTGAGGTAGATAAAAAGAAGTGAACCCCGATGTTTATAGTAGCAATGTCCACAATAGCCAAATTGTGGAAAGAGCCAAGATGTCACTGACAGATGAATGGATAAAGAAGATGTGGTGTATATATATACAATGGAATATTATGCAGCCATCAAAAGGAATGAGATCTTGCTAGTTGCAACGATGTGGATGGAACTAGAGGGTGTTATGCTGAGCGAAATAAGTCGATCAGAGAAAGACATGTATCATATGCGCTCACTGATATGAGGAATTCTTAATCTCAGGAAACAAACTGAGGGTTGCTGGAGGGGGGTGTGGGAGGGATGGAGTGGCTGGGTGATAGACATTGGGGAGGGTATGTGCTATGGTGAGCGCTGTGAATTGTGTAGGACTATTGAATCACAGATCTGTACCTCTGAAACAAATAATGCAATATATGTTAAGAAAAAAAAAAGAAGAAGAAGATAGCAGGAGGGGAAGAATGAAGGGGGGGGAATCGGAGGGGGAGACGAACCACGAGAGACGATGGACTCTGAAAAACAAACTGAAGGTTCTAGAGGGGAGGGGGTTGGGGGGATGGGTTAGCCTGGTGATGGCTATTAAAGAGGGCATGCTCTGCGTGGAGCACTGGGTGTTATACACAAACAATGAATCATGGAACACTACATCAAAAACTAATGATGTAATGTATAGTGATTAACATAACAATAAAAAAATTAAAAAAAAGAAGTGGGATTGCTGGGCATGTGGGTATGTGGGTATGCGCATCTTTAGTTTTCATTGCTAATACAAATTGCTGAATAAAGTGTTTATATCAATTTACCCTAGTATCATAAGGGAATATCCATTTCATCCTGGTCTACCCCATATTGAATGCTGTCCAGTTTTGAGGATATTTTTCAATCTAATGCATGACAATATTAGCTTCTATTAATTTCAATACCCTTGTATTTATTAGCAATTAGTTTTTCTTTTTCTGTTAGTTACTTATAAATTTTCTAATATTTTGTGAACCCTTTTACTATTGAATTTTAGAAGTTCTCTGTACATGATAGATATTAGTCTTGTATGAACATTGAACATAATTTATCTGGTCTTCAGGCTTTGTTCATGTTGCCTTTTATCATCCTGAAACTATTGTTTAAGTAATAAAGCTTATCTTCTTTCCCCCCAATGCCTTTGGCTTTTGGTTAAAAGAATGTTATTGATGAAGTTTTTTTTCCCTTTTTTTTCACTTTTCTGTTTTCTTTTTTTAATTTAAATTCAATTAGCCAACATATAGTACATCATTAGTTTTTGAGGTAGTGTTCAATGATATTGATGAAGTTTGTTTTATTTATTTATTTATTTAATTTTATATTTAATTTTATTTTATCATGTTAGGTTATGTCACCATATAGTACATTAGTTTTTGATGTAGTGTTCCATGATTCATTGTTTGCATGTAACGCCCAGTGCTCCACGCAATACATGCCCTCCTTAATACCTATCACCGGGCTAACCCATCCTCCACCCTCCTCCCCTCTAAAACACTGTTTGATTCCCAGAGTCCACAGTCTCTCATGGTTCCTCTCTTCCTCTGATCCCCACCCCCTCATTTTTCCCTTCCTTCTCCTAATATTCTCCATGCTATTGCTTATGTTCCACAAATAAGTGAAACCATATGATAATTGTCTTTCTCTGCTTGACTTATTTCACTTAACATAATCTCCTCCAGTTCCATCTATGTTGATGCAAAAGTTGGGTATTCATCTTCTCTGATGGCTGAGTAATATTCCATTGTATATATGGACCACAGCTTCTTTATCTATTCATCTGTTGAAGGACATCTCAGCCCTTTCCACAGTTTAGCTATTGTGGACATTGCTGCTATGAACATTGGGGTGCATGTGGTCCTTCTTTTCACTACATCTGTATTTTGGGGTAAATGCCCAGTAGTGTAATTGCTGGGTCATATGGTAGCTCTATTTTTAACTTTTTGAAGAACCTCCCCACTGTTTTCCAAAATGGCTATATCAGCTTGCACTCCCACCAACAGTGTGATGAAGTTTTAAATTGTGGCTTGTATGTATTTTCTTTGAAATTTCCTGTACGTTCATAATAGTGTCTGCTTTTCCCAATAGAACAGAATTTCTCAACTTTGGGGGTAACAGAAGAGAATATGAAATTTCCTATTAACAGCTTCTTTGTCTTTACACCTTATATGTTGCTGTAGAAATTTTCCTGTTTCTAATGGAGAATAGGAAAACACCTGTTTTTAGCAACTATATAATGTAAAGGAGTTCCAGCAGTTTCTCAAGCTCTGGGGTGGGGCGGGGAAGGTGGGGTTGGATATTTCTTTGTGTCTGGAGCTGTCCTGTGCATTGTACATTGGTGAGCAAATCTCTTTCCTTCACTCATTAAATGTCAGTACGTACCTCTCCAGCCATGAAACCAAAGATGTCTCCAGAAATTGCCAAGTGTTCCCTGGGGCAAAAGTGTCCCCAAGATGAGTATTGCACTAGAGCCTTTGAAATGTGAAGGAGGGTTATTAAAACTCCCCCTCTGCTGGTTTTAAGTCTGGTTCTGTCGACTTCTGTATGGGTTGTTTTATTTATTTTTGCTTGTGTTTTTATTTTTATTTTTTATCATGCTATGGTAGTCACCACACAGTACATCATTAGTTTTTTGCTTGTGTTTAATAACTTTTGATTTGATGCTGGACAGTGTGTGTAGAACAGCAGACATTGAGGTATAGGCTATTTATTACTGGAAATAGGCACACCTGTTCTTCTGCTAAGCTGTTTTTGAGGGAGTTGAGCCTAATCAGGAGTCTTTGCACTCCAGGCTTCAATTTATTCTGGTGTTACCTTGTTTTCCTGTGCTTATCGTGGGGTTGCTTTGCCAGAAGTTTTTTTTCTCATTGTTCCACCTTCAGCTGTAGACCTTCCCTGTGTGGCTGTATCAAAGAGGTCTCTCCACATTCTTGCCACTCCCTCAAGAGTTTCTATATTCTCATGATTGTCCACACTCGGGCCTAAGTAATTCATTCAGAAATGTAGGTTCTCTTTAAGCTTTTCTATGGCATGCTGATGACTTCTTTTTGTCCTTTGCCATAGGTCAGCCGGTGCTCTTGATGGTCTCTCTGTGGATGATCCCGTCTTCCCTTAGACATTAGGCTACTTTGTTGTCCTTACCTCTCCTCACTTAGAGGTTCAAGAAAATGAATGATTTTGCAGTTTATGTGGATTTTTTCTTACTGTTAGGTTGAAGGCAATACTTGTTTCCATTTTTTATTTTCTAGGCATTAGTGGAGATTCTCTCTGTTTTCTTAAATTTTAATAACTTTGTTTTATTTTTAATTTTTTATTTTAAATCCATCACCATTAGTCATGCAAATTCATAGTTTTGGAAAAGATCCATTCATGGGGGACCTGGGTGGCTCAGTCGGTTAAGTGGCTGACTCTTGATTTCAGTTCAGGTCATGATCTCAAGGGTCGTGGGATCAAACCCTGATAAAGCTCTGAGCTCAGTGAGGATTCTGCTTATCCTTCTCCCTCTGTCAGCCCCCCCTGGCTTGTGGGCTTTCTCTCTCTCTCTCAAATAAATAAATAAAATCTTAAAAAAAAGAGGAGCGGAGCCAGATGGCAGAGGAGTAGGAGACCTGGATTTCGTCTGGTCTCAGGAATTCAGCTGAATAGGGATCAAACCATTCTGAACACCTACGAACTCAACAGGAGATCGAAGAGGAGAGTAGCAACAACTCTCTGAACAGGGAAGCGACCACTTTCTGGAAGGTAGGACGTGCGGAGAAGTGAATCCGAGGCAATATTTGGGAGGATAGACGGCGGGGGAGGGGGCCTCCGTGGGCCGCTCCTGGCAAGTGATAGAGCCGCAGAGCACAAAATCGGAACTTTTAGAAGTCAGCTCCGCTGAGGGACGTCGCTCCAGTGGCTAAGTGGGGGGTGGAACCCTCATGGGACAGTGTGGTCTCAGGACCCTCTAGGTCACAGAAAGACCGGGGGAGCCTGAGTGCGGCAGAGCTCCCGGGTATCGAAGCGGGGAAGCCGGCTGCAGAGACGGAGCCGAGGTGCGGGCTCTCAGCTCGGGGTTGCCATAAACTGTGATCCGCGGCCCAGTCGGGCCACTGCTCCTCCAGCAGGGACCCAACAAGCGGCAGAGCTGGGGAGACTCCCCTTCCTCCCCTGAGAGGAGCGGCGCGGGAGCACACAGCAGGGATCTGCTAGGTTTGGAGACTCCACACGGGGTCGGGTGTCAGAGATAGAAATGCTCGATCACAGGCCGGGTGAGCACGGAGTGCGGCCGGAGACCGGGGACACGGGAGTGACTGCTTTTCTCTGGGGGCGCACTGAGGAGCGGGGCCCTGAGTTCTCAGCTCCTCCGGGCAGAGAGTGGGAGGCCACCATTTTCACCCTGGTCCTCCAAGGCTGTACGGAGAGCTTGCAGGGAACAAAAGCTCCTGAGAGCAAACCCAAGCAGCTTGCTTAGCCCGGACCGACAAGAGCGGGACAGTTCTGCCTC